TGGAACCCTCCATGCATGGTTAGGAGCTTTCGGGTCTTAACGTCTGTGGTCTGAATCTCTTCCTTTGGCCACCTTATTATTCCTGCAGGGTATCTGATCACTGGCAGGGCATAGCTGTTTATTGCCCGGGTCTTATTCTTGCCATTGAGCTGGCTTCTTAGGACTTGCCTCACTCGCTGGAGGTATTTGGCCGTAGCCGCTTTCCTTGTTGTCACTTTGAGGTTGCCATTGGCTTGCTGTATACCGAGGTACTTGTAGCTGTCCTCAATGTCTGCTATTGTTCCTTCAGGGAGTGAGATCCCTTCAGTGCGGACTACCTTTCCTCTCTTAGTCACCATCCGACTACATTTCTCAAGCCCGAATGACATCCCGATGTCGCTGCTGTAGATCCTGGTTGTGTGGATCAGGGAGTCTATGTCCCTTTCGCTCTTAGCATACAGCTTTATGTCATCCATGTAGAGGAGGTGACTGATTGTAGCTCCATTTCTGAGGCGGTATCCAGAGCATGTCTTGGTGATTACTTGTCTTAGGGGGTTCACTCCGATGCAGAACAGCAGTGGGGAGAGTGCATCACCTTGGTATATGCCACATTTGATGGACACTTGGGTAAGTGGCTTGCCATTGGCTTCAAGTGTGGTTTTCCACATCCTCATCGAGTTTGCAACGAAGGCTCTTAGGGTCCTGTTCACCTTATACAACTCCAAGCATTCAGTGATCCATGTATGTGGCATTGAGTCTTAGGCTTTCTTGTAATCAATCCAGGCTGTGCACAGGTTGGTATGTCGGGACCTGCAGTCTTGGGCGACTGTTCTGTCAACCACGAGCTGATGTTTGGCTCCTCTGTTATCTCTACCAATGCCTTTCTGTGCTTCGCTCATATATCGCATATATATATATATATACACACACAAATGTATACATTAACTACCATTCTACCACAGTCTAGTCTCCCCTACCCCATACATAATTAATCTGTAAATGTGTAGTACCTTGCTGTATGCATGTATAGTGCCTAAAAAGTCTGACTCACATGTGCTGATCTTTTTGCTGACTTTCTGTGCAAGTGTGCTGCTCTGGGCCAGCTGGTCCCTGAAGCTCTGTCCCATGTAATAGTCAACGTCGTTGGCTCTCAACAGTTCTTCAAAGGCCTTGGTGGTCTCCCCCAGGTGTTGGCTGAGAATGTGACACACACCACGACCTTCACGTAGGTGCTGGCGGAGGACAGACAGCTCTCTTGCTTGAGTCTGGATTAAAGTGTGAAATTTGCTGGGGAAAGAGAGACATGTAAGTGTCACATTTAACTAAAAATGTACAATCACAGTTTAAATATTTTGTTTATCTATGTGTTTTGGCAGAATTACCCAAAGACTCTTCGATCCATTCGTCAAAGTCATTATTTTTCATTGATTAGCCATTGGAAGCACGTTTTTAATGGACTTTGCCACTTACTGTAGGACTTGAGCGGAACAATATCAACTACCAGAATTGGACATGCTTTTGTCATGTTGTAAAACAATGAAACAAGTTTGGAAGTGTCATGACAGTGGAGGGGTTTGTGTGTCCCAGTGATACAAGAAGCTAAATTGTCTTGGGCTGAATACCTCTGGAAGGGTCTCCCAGAGCTAACAGTTCCTGGCTGGGGGACCAGATCAAACACGGTTCAAAAACCCCTTTTGATTAACACAAATTCTGGACCTTGTTTTCCCATTCCCGGATATGGGTCCCTCTTCCTATGGGCTTAGCACCTGTGTGCAAACATCATAGTCCATGGAGATTCCTGTCTAACCTCGTCTGTCAACCTGTCTATGACCACAGTGCACAAGAAGTGGCTCAGAGCTAACCCCTAATGAAGTCCCACCTCCACCTTGAATTCCTCTGTCATACCTACACAGCACACCTCACCACTGTCTTACAGTCATCGTACATGTCCCGCTCTCAAATACTTCTCTGTCAAGAAAAAAAAAAAACTCATAGCTTGGTTTCCACTTGAGTTTCTACATCATATTGTTGAAAATAGATTGGCCAATAGTTGTATTATATGTAATGTCATGTGGTCACATGGGCTACATGGCCAATAGAGTTCATTAACATTGTATTTAATATGCTTTGGTTGAAGCAGGTGGCGGCAGCTAGAGTGATGAGCTGCATGCGACGTTTTTTTTGGACTGTGAGCAGCTCACCTGATTCCATTAAGTCTAACGAGCATTCATTTGTCAGCTGCTTGACAAACAGTATGCGCTTCGCTAACATGTACCATATAAATACTGTAACATGATATGAAAGTGTCCTTGAAGGAATTTGATTGCATTAAAGTGTTCATATTAATGTCCACATTATTTAGGTCAGAGGAATTGTCACACCGCCCCTGTCTGGAAGGCCAAGCCTCATCAATTTATGTGAGTATTGGGTTTTCTCATTTGGCCATGTAGGTCTACAGGAAATGTTAATTGTTTTGCATTCATATTATGTCTGTTTTGCCGCCTTGCGACCTTGAAGATGGCTCAAAGACTCTGCAAAACCACTCAACATTTGAACAGCCATCAACTGATTAAATGTTTGTCCATGATGAAACATTGAGGTGCACCAGCCTGTTGTCAAAATGAAGGCAACATTCATGCACACAGATGCTACACCATTCAGACCAGGTAAAAGAAACTTGTTACAGTAAATATGTAATGTTTAGTGTTGCCACTCGCTAATGGGTGAAAAACCGTGGAACTGAATGCCAGAATGGAATGCTTGTATGTATGGCAGAGGCGATTGCTCTAAGACTGCAAGGGAAGCTCGGCTTCCCCTAAAATGTCAAAAAATAAGTGATCAAATATATGTGTGTACATACAATTGTGTGTACATGTCATTGTCCCGCCCATCAGACGCTCAGCGTCTCTGGGAGTCTATGGACAGTGGCCGTTTATGGGCTCGCCCGGACGCTGAGCTTTTCTGCATGATGATTGGATGATCTGTCTGAGGCAGAATCTTTTTTTGATTGACAGCAAAATGAGCCCGTCACCGATCTTTTGGTGTCGGCATCCTTGGGAGCATTTTTCAATTCTCATTCTGTTCTGAGTTGAACTGGAGACTTCTTCTAATCATTTTAGAGACACTCTCTTTGTTGAAAATGACTAGCGACACAATCTTTTATTTCTGGTGGGTTTTATTGTACACAGATCATTTTCTTGAAAAGGAACGGAGAGTAGAATTCACGTATAAATAAACGAACACATTTTATGATGTAGGCCGAAATTGAGCTTCCCCTCCTTGATAGACCAGCATCCGCCACTGATGTATGGGTACTGAAAATGAATACTTGAGGGTAAATTGGTAACATCTTCATGACAGTAAGACATTTCTTTTGACCACAAATGTTATCACTATAGGTTTTGATGCTTACCTGAATGGAGGAGGATTTGTTTACTGCGTATTATCGGCAGGATGAGACGTTCCCACGCGAAAGTGATAAAAGAACATACAGTGTGCCCTACTGCCGTTTTATACGAGTTGTCTGAAATGGATTTGATCAAACAAAAGTGGTTTGAATTTAAATGTTCTGTTTTATTAAATCTTGTGAGGCATGGGTACATTTGCCCACATTGTATAGTGTTGGTATGAACACTCATTAGTGTTCATCTAAAAATATAGTGTCATTATTACTGCATTGTAAACACTATAGTTTCTTGCTTTAACATGCTAATGGGTGTTGAACATTTAACACTTTGGTCAATGTTACTTTTACTTTAACACCAGGTGGTGTGGATGCGTAGAGACAGTTTTCAGTTAAAATTAACACCTTATGGTGTTGAATTAACAACAGCAGATTTGCTGTGTGAAAATGTAAGATCACGTTTGATTTTGTTTTCTGTGACCCAAAAGCCTTAACAGATGTCACTACTAACGCCGCTAAACATGGCGTTTCAATTATGAAGGTAATCCAAATAAAACTGAACAATGTCTGTATGGCAACGGTGGTTGGAAGTGGATGAATGTTTTTTGGGGTTTTTTTTGGATACAATTTATAATTTTACAGAATGCTTTTGCTTACCTTGGCCAGGTTAAAGAATTTCCATCCTCATCTGCAAACTTCTTTCCTCTTTTCTTTATCTGGTCATCGATTGTGTCTAAGTGTGACATCAGCTCTTTGAGGCTCTTGTTTGGGTGATGGAGTGAGACTATGGGACCACCATCAGATGACTGCCAACCTTCATCGTCGTCTCCCATACTGACGGAGGGAGAAGCATGGGAAGACCAGCTATCCTTCTGAGGCATTTGTGGTCGATTTTCATCAGAGGTGGAGACAGAATGTAGGCAACTCTGAAGACTGTGGATAACACTTCGAGAATGTGAAAGTTGGGCACGAAGATCCTCAATCAGGCGCTGGAGAGATGAGACCTTGTCTTTGTAGCAAGAACTGTGGGTCGTGGTTTTATTGAAGGTAGTGTTGTTTCTGCATGCAGGCCACCACTGAGAAGGGCAGTCCAAAGATGTGCACATTTCCAGGTCATCAAATTCTGTCACAGAAAATAAAGAAAGTCATGTTCTGAATAACTCTCCCAGTTTTCTTGTGTTACGTTTTTAATCTCAATAAAAATCTGGCAATTGTATATATACACTGTTTGTAAATTGTACTTTGTATATAAATTTATGGTAATCAAATGCATAGTATGGCTCAAATTTGCCCAAATAAAGCATTGTTTTTCTTCTGTTTGTATCTTTGCATACTCTGTAACTTTGAGCATGTAAAAATTGAGCAGTCCTGTGACTGAGTGTACTTATAACTTTACTATCTATCTATCGTTCGATCAATCTACCTATCTCAACACACACACACGTGTTTGTGTGTGTGTCTATGTGTGTGTGTGTGTGTGTGTGTGTGGGGGGGGTTGGTTACTTTATTTGGCTGCGTCTGCTTATTCATTCGCATGCGTGTGACATACTATGTACGTTTTCGATGCCGATGCGAAGCGGCCAAAAGTTAATTTCAACACCAACGAAACGGACACAGGACAAACATTGCATTGGAGCACTTCAAACGCACCACTGGTCACCCAACCGCGCACACTATTAGAACATGACAGCGGAGCGCAGGGAGGCGTGGGTGGACTTATTTATTAAATACAACGCCCCACTCTCAAGCTCGACTGCTGTGGAGAGGGTTTTTACAACAGCCGGTGACATCCTGCGGCCAAAAAGGACCACCCTGGCCATTGCCAACTTTGATAAGGTAGTCTTCCTCAAGAGGAACATGTCGCTATTGGCATACCCCACCTACAAACGGCAGTTTGAGGAGGAGAAGCAGCTCGGGGCCAAACTAGGCAAGAGGAAGGTTGGTGAAATGTCAGGATGAAAGCACTTTAAAAGGACGAGGACGGACAGAGTCCGAGGACAATTATTTTATGAAATAGTCTGGAGGAACGATGAAGGAAGCGTGCCCAGGTTGCGGACGCAGGACGAGGGTAAAGTGTCCTTCATCAGCAAGCTCTGCAGGAAGCTGGATAACGGTCCTGATCAATTGAATCAAGTGTGTTGGAGTAGGAAAATAAAACATAAAACATCCGGAACAGAATGGGCCATCCCTGTTGTAGAATCAGGTGTGTGGCAAGACAGACTGTCCCAGAGGCTGGCATTATTCGCTCTAGCTTCCGCTAGCTTCACCAAGGAAGTGAAGAGTGAGTTATCACAGAGTTGGACTTGAGTTGATTGTACTTCTCACTGGCTGACGCAATTATATCTTCTCCAAAATGGCAGGGGCGCCTTATAATGAACGTGACAGACTGATGTTGTGCTGACACGCCACTTATATAGAGGAAAGGCGCATGTTACTGAGGACAGCATGCAGACCTTAAAGGAGGAAGGGTGCACATGAAAGAGGATGCTAAAGGCACGCCCCCATTAGTTATATGCATTTTACAAAACAATATCAGTTTGGCTAAGGACCCCTGAAAATGGCACCTACGAAGAGACATGCTTAAACGAAGCACAGTTTAAACTGCAAGCTATCAGTTATGCTGAGGAACATGGAAATCGAGCAACTGCAACAGAATATAAGATCGACGAATGCATAGTTTGCAAGTCAAGGAAGCAGGAAAAGAAGCTTCTCAAAGGCAAGAAGACGAAGCTGAGTTTCCGCAGAAACAACGCGAGGTGGCCCGAGTTGGAAGACCAATGTCCTGTCCAGGGAAACCAAGACAACGAAAGTATTTTAAAAAATGATGAGGTTTATTTGAGAAACAAAAAAAAAAAAACAGAGAAACACCGTTCACAGATCTGCCAAGGGAGCCCTCTCCCCCCGTGTCTTGCGCAGTCATTTTATCTAGTTTTCTTCTATTTGGGAGGGGTGAAGGTCAGCATTTTGAGCAGCTGCACAGAATGCAGTCGAGTGCATGAGCAGGCAACTTTGCTTATCTGCAAAATAACTGGTCAGCATTCAATAGTACGAACAGTTACTTCCAGTTAGTGCTGTTATATGTCAAATTCCCATTACACCAACTCGAGCCAAGGATTAATGATCAAACAACATCTGGGTTAAGCGTCTCTGCAGTCATTATTCAACTGAGGGCAATAATGCTTGCAGAAGAAGATTAAGCATTTTCAACGTGGTCCATCTTGGTGCTTTCGTTTTGTGAAACTGTGCCATCTATCCATCCAGGCACCTGGTCCATGTTTATAATGTGGTTGTGATGGATGTATTTGTTGACAATCTTTTTACTGCAGTAGGAGCAGAAGATGACGATCTTTTCTCTGCATGTAATCAGCTGGATGTTGCTGCGGCACAGTCATCCTTGTCTGGATGGATAGATGGCGGCCTTTCATAAAACGAAAGCACCAAACAACATAGATTAGTTGATCTTGAATTCTCTTGCAGCTTCTCGATTCCCATGGTCCTCCACGCAACTGATCGCTTGCATTTAACTATTCTTCATAAGAGTGTCTATTCGTCTGGGCGATTTACGGGATGTTGTTTTTCATAATTCATGTACTGGCACTATTTATACCTACTAGGGGCGTGCATTTAGCCTCCACTTTCATGCCCACCCTTCTCAATTTAACATCCACATGCTGTCCTCAGTTACGTCCACAATCCCTTGAGGTTCCTTGGGACCCATGCTGCACCACTGACGACAATATAGGAAAGGGCAATACCTGATCAGAAAAATCTATTTTCATTTTAATACTGCCCCATTTCAGATCTTTAATATGCTACCTTGCTTTATGTCATAAATACAGCAGCCTGATTGCATGTAAACAAATACCTTGAATTACTGATGTTGTGTATAAAAGAGGTCTTGAATGGTACCTGGACTGCTAGTATCTTCCCTTTCCGCTTCATTCTCACTCCGTCCACATGTCTCATAGCCCATGTCCTGTAGGTCTACCTGGATTTGCTTATTGTCCTGCTGCACAGTGGTTTCTGCTGCAGCGATGCAAAGGAAGAACAAACAGTTGGTATTCAGGGCAGTTTTAAATTGTATCAACAGAATATGTCCGGGTTCAAACAATTGTTAAGCACTTCTTAAATTACATTCCAAGATACATTTTAAAGCATTTTACACAATAGTACAGCTTTGGTTTATCATGTACCTGAATTCATCTCAGTAGCAGAGACAATAGCAAATTCAAGATTATTTGTGCACAGTAAATCAAAGAAAAGTACAGGTACCTCAACTATTACTAACTCAACTACACTATTATTAAGGAAATACCAAATCCATTCATGCATCCATTTTCTTCCACTTATACGAGGTCGGGTCACGGGGGCCCCGGTGCAGCGTCTGCTGTGATGCAGACTTTGTATCGGTCTGGCGTGGTAAAGAAGGAGCTGAGCCAAAGGGCGAAGCTCATAATTTACCGGTCAATCTACGTTCCAACCCTCATCCATGGTCACGAGCTAAGGGTCGTGACCGAAAGAACGAGATCCCGGATACAAGCAGCCGAAATGAGTTTTCTCCGCAGGGTGTCCGGGCTCTCCCTTAGAGATAAGGTGAGAAGCTCGGTCATCTGGGAGGGGCTCAGAGTCGAGCCGCTTCTCCTCCACGTCGAAAGGAGCCAGATGAGGTGGCTCGGGCATCTGATTAGGATGCCTCCTGAAAGCCTCCCTGGTGAGGTGTTCCAGGCATGTCCCACCGGGAGGAGACCCCGGGGATGACCCAGGACACGCTGGAGAGACTATGTCACCCAGCTGGCCTGGGAACGCCTCAGCATCTCCTGGGGAGACCTGGAAGAAGTGGCTAGGGAGAGGGAAGTCTGGGCTTCCCTGCTAAAGCTGCTGCCCCCGCGACCCGACCCTGGATAAGTGGTAGAAGATGGATGGATGGATGGATGGATGGAAGGGTCATGGGAGCAGCAGCTTAAGCAAGGAACCCCAGACTTCCCTCTCCACACCCACATTGTCCAGCACCTCCTGGGGGATCCCAAGGTGTTCCCAAGCCTGCTGGAGGTCATAGTCACAACAGTGAGTTCTGGTTCATCCTCAGGGCCTCCTCCAAGTGGGAGATTCTCTGAACACCTTACCAGCGAGGCGTCCAGGTGTTGTCCTGACAATATGCCCAAGCCACCTCATCTGGCTCCCTTCAATGGTGAGGAGCAGTTGTTCGACTCTAAGCCCATCCTGGACGACCAAGTTTCTCACCTTATCTCAGCAAAACGATGGAGTCCCCAGAAAGACCACTCTCCAAGCATTCCTTTCAAGGACTCAAAAAGGGTAGGTACTCTGAACCGCTGTCTTTTGCAAAAGCATAAACAACAGACAAGACCCGTACCCTGCTCCAAAGGTGGAGGGAGAGGCTACCTTCTCCTCCACCGGAGTGAACCCCAATGTACAGGCGCTAGGGTGGGAGGGAGCCAATTTCTGTAGCTCGGTATTTGATCGCCTTTGGCTGCCGCCCAGTTCACGATCCCCCCAACCCCTTTGCCCCCTCCCATAGGTGGTGAGCACATGGGAAGGCGGAGCCCCGTTGTCCTTTCAGGCTGAGCTCAGATGGGCCCCATGGGTGCAGGCCCGCCGGCCACCAGACGCTCTCCTTCAAGCCTCACCACCGGGCCTGGCTCCAGAGGGAGGCCCCAGTAACCCGCATCCAAACAAGGGAAAACTGGATCTACTTTTCTTATTCATCTTGATCTGGTCCCTCACCTTGGACCTGTTTGCCATGGGTGACCCTGCCAGGGGTATAAAGTCCCAGGCAACTTAGCTCCTAGGATCAGTGGGACAGACATACCCTTCCACCATAAGGTGGCAGTTCATGAAGGGGACTATTATTATTCAAGAATTCTAAAGAAATTGTTAGAAACCATGGTATCGGAGTATGTTGATTACTGGTGTATGTAAAACTCACTGAGCATCTCTCTGTGTTCTTTCAGTTTCTCAGGCTGAGCTTTCACTCTAGTGTCAGACACTGTCAGTTTCTCATTCAGCTCTTTGCACTGTGCCCGCAGACAAACAGTTTTATCAACAATCACTGAGGACACAGATGTAGACTGTTGTTGATTGCCTGACAAATCTCGATCTCCATCCTGTTCGAAAACAAACACAGAACAAGCACAATTAAGCAAGATGGCCCCTTGTCAATTGCATTTTCTTTAAAATGGCCTCTTATTCACTGTGGTGACACTATTGCACATTTTTTAAGCGAATGGAAACTAGTGTGTAACTTTTTGGACATTTGAAATTACACATTCCTCAAGCAAAGAGCACACCAGAAGAGGGGTTCGCGCTGCTGCTCAATGGTTCCAGACTGCCCCTAAATGGTGGCATTTTGCTGCTAAAATTTGGATGTTTTTCATCTACTTGTAAATTTGCAGATTATTACTATTATCACTCCTGACGGCATGGTGGTCAACTGGTTATCACATCGTCCTCACAGTGCAGAGGTCTGGGGTTCGACTCCGCCCCCAACCTTCCTGTGTGGAGTTGGCATGTTTTCTCCGTGCCTGCGTGGGTTTTCTCCGGGTACTCTGGTTTCCTCCCACAGTCCAAAAACATGCTTTGTAGGTTAATTGATCACTCTAGATTGCCCTTTGGTGTGATTAATTGTTGGTGTTAAAGGTTGTTTATCTCTGTCTGCCCTGCGAGTGACTGGCAACCAGTTCAGGGTGTACCCCGACTTCTGCCCGAAGACAGCTAGGATAGGCTCCAGCGCGCCCCCCAACCCTTGTGAGGGTAAGTGTTTCAGATAATGGATGCATGTATGATTACTTATATTATTATTGTTATTAAATATATTTTTGTTGCTGACTTCTGATCCACACTTCAGTCCATTTATCAGAAAATAGTGAAAATGAATGGAAATGTAGGTTGATTTACCATTTACCCCCACAAATTACTGTACTTTTGCCCCTAAAATTTCAAACTAGAGCCCTGTGCTGCACTCTACTAGGTTTAAAACTTAGTCGACTTGTCCTATCTTGTGTGATGTGTTTGCATTCGTTTTAAAAGTTTCACAATCCCAAGCTACACAACTGACAAGTTGGGTTTTTTTCCTCAGTGTGTACTGCAATGATTTGTTAATTTATCCATCTATTATCCAATCCGCGAGCGGCCCGGTAGTCGAGTGGTTAGCACGTCGACTTCACAGTGCAGGGGTAACCGGGTTCAATTCCAGCTCTGGCCTTCCTGTGTGGAGTTTGCATGTTCTTTCTGTGCTTGCGTGGGTTTTCTCCGGGTCCTCTTGTTTCCTCACACATTCCAAAAACATGCATGGGAGGCTGATTGAACACTCCAAACTGTCCCTAGGTGTGAGTGTGAGCGTGAATGGTTGTTTGTTTTGTGTGCCCTGCAATTGGCTAGCAACCGGTTCAGGGTGTCCCCCGCCTACTGCCCGGAGACAGCTGAGATAGGCTCCAGCACCCCCCGCGACCCTAGTGAGGATAAAGCGGTTCGGAAAATGAATGAATGAATGAATGAATATCCAAACCGCTTATCCTCATGAGTGTTGCGGGCATGCTGGAGCTATCCCAGCTGTCTTTGGGCAGGAGGCGGAGTTCACCTTGAACTGGTTGCCAGCCAATCGCAGCATTTATTGATTGATTGATTGATTGTAATGTGATCGCAACACAACATGTTTTGCTCACAAAAGCCAAACAATGGGCCCACACATATAACACACACTCTGGATACTGACACGGTTATAGTCGCATACCTTTGATGAGTTGGTGACTTGATAAAGGCCATCAGACCTATTGACTTCTGTCATCTTTTCTTCATCATCGGTTTGGAATTTAATGGTTGAATGTTTACCCTCATACAGAGAGTGTTGTTCATCCCAAGCGTCCCAAAACTCAAAGCCGTCCTCTCCTTCTTCCATGGTGACATCTATCTCCTCTTCGTCCTTGTCATCCAACAGTCTCCCCTCATCATTCTGTCTACTGTCATGCTGCCACATCTCAGTTGGTGGATGGTTTAAATCTTTATTTTCAACATAAAGGGTCACCAAGGCTTTCCTTGAAAACAGATAGATACAGTAAACACAATAATTAGCCTCAAGTCTCCCCAAAACACTAAATTCACCAAAAACACCTTTTTATGTAATGTTTAGTTTCAAAATACAGAATATAGAAACAATAATCAGGCTTCCCAATGCATGCTTTATATAGATACAGTAAGTGTCAGTGAAGTTTTTTATACCTGATCTGTGACAGTGAAGAGAAGCCCATCTTGTTCAAATGATCCTTTAACTCTCCCAGCTCTTTTTCCATCACTCGTTTCTGCTCCACCAGTTGTTTGACCTCTGTCAGGCTTTGTGTGGCACTCCAGTTGTTGTGGAGTGCAACTTTGAGTCGACCCTGAGAAGCCTGACCACAAAGATTCTAATTTATCTCGACAGATTCATATCATTGTTATCACTCAAATTGGAAGAATGATTACTCAGATGAAAAAAGAAACAGGTTTTCACAAGTATATTTTGACTGTCTAAGAAATTGAATGAATATTTCAAATGTGTTTCACAGAATCAAGAGTGTATTTGTGGATACCTTGGTGTTGACCAGCGGCTGAAACATTAGTTTAGACTTCTCTTTATGAAGACTCCCACAGCCCTTAGTATTTGGATCCTCATCAGCATCACCTTTACCCTTTGAACTGAGTTGTACTGGAAGCAGAAAGTTTACAAGCATGATGGCTCAAAAAAATAAATAAATCAGAAAACAATAGATGAAATGAAACCCTGATGCTCCTCCAAGCTGACTTATGTTGACAGCCTGTCTCATTATCATTCAGCCCATATTCTAGTTCAGTTGATATAGTTCATATCATTGATTATATGACTGTTTTATGTTCATTTGCACTGTATTTGCTGTACACATAGTATCACTAGATTATTGCACTGTAATGAAGTAGATGGAAATGGAAACATTTTGTTGTTGCACAATGCCATTGTTTTCAGGGATCTTGTGTGATAAAATGACACTTTGCTATAAAAATAGTATAAAACTCTTTTACATTTCCTAAACAACATAATCCATTAACCAAGACAGAAATATCTAATATTCGTTCAAAAATACGTCATTAACCCACTTTTAAATAGCCGGGG